ATTTCAGAAAATTTGAATCTTTGCTATGTTGCCATAAGGGGTCCTCGGTGTTTCAGAAACACATCTTGTTCCTTATATTGAGAAGAAATACGGCTTTCATACTTGACATGTGCATTACCTGTGACAAAATATTTCCAAGCATGCTATATGATATGTGACTTATTGACCTTGACCTTCAGAATTGTTTTTTAAATTTCTAAATGACATATGATGGGGCGTTCATATTTGAGACAATATTCACCCACAAAAGCACCTAAAGCAGGGAACCACAATTCTTTGAATTTACTTGTTTGTCTCTTGTTCAAAAGTTATGACCAAGGTTAAAGTTTTTGAAAAGTGGGTCAGACTTTTAGGTAAAGGTCACAGGGTCAAAAATCATAGTGTATTTAGAAAGGCCTGGTCACAGTTAATACACACATATAATATGAGAGCAAAATCTCTTTTCATTCAAATGATATGACCAAGGTTAATGTTTTTGTGATGGATGGACTGACAGAACTACGAACTGACAGACGAATGAAATTTAATGTCCCCTCGCTTTTGCGAAAGTGGGGAACAATAATGGAAATTTTGAATACTGTTCTTGTAAAGTAGAATATCCCCCCAGCCAATTGTCCCCAGAATCTGTCATCTAAAGTAAGATGCCCTCCTGAGGAAAAAAGTCACACTAGAGCCAAATCTAACCCCTACTTTTTCCTCTTTTTGTCCCCCTCTTTGAAGTTCGCCCTACTTTTCAAAAACTTAATCATTGGTCATGGCATTTGAATAAGCAAATTAAGAAAGGGCTTTCATATTAAACCTGTGTGTATGTTGCCTGTGACAAGACCTTTCTAAATACACTTTGACCTTGACCTTAAAGTTTGACAAGTTTTTAAAAAAAATTAATAATATCTGGAAGGATATTTTGCCTTACTATTTGTTGAACAACAGTATGCAATTTTCTCACCTTGTTTTTAATATTACTACACCAAAAAGTCTCTGACGAGACTGTAGCTCTACTGCATGGTTTGGTTTCAAAGGAAGAGAATAGTTGCACTTGAATTTGAAACTTTGCGACAGCAATAGAATAATGATCCTTGGGTTAGTCTCTTTTTGTGGAAAGATTTATTGCAATCAAAACAAGAGGCCCATGGGCCTTATAGGTCACCTGAGCATTATGCAACAACTTTCCAGTGATTGAATTTGATTCATGTTTTAAGCCAGATGCAATGGCATTCACAATTTTGAAAGAGGAACCATTGATCATCATAACAATACACTTAGCAGTTGCTTAGTTTGTTTACTTAATACCCATATGCAGGGTAAGGGAACAAAAAAATGCATTTCAACTAATCAGTAATATTCAGCAATAATCAGTAGTGCCCCTACCACACATGAACCCCTGACCCTTAGGCCTTGATATTTGATTAATACCAAGGAGCAGATTTCAAACCATTCATTCATTTTCAGTATATAAGTACAGCCCCCCTTCTATGGTACCCCTGACCCTATAGGGCCTTGAAATTCACAATTCTGGAAGATATAGGCCCTTGTCCAGCATAACTTTAGATTTAATGTATTTTCACTATATAATCAATAGAGCCCCGCCCTAACACCAGAACCCCTGACCCTGGGGCCATAAAATTCACAATTTTGGTAGAGGCACTCTTGCTCATCATAACTATGCACTTAGTCAGTTTATTTAATACCCAGGAGCAGAGAAGAAGATTTTCAGAGAATTCATGTATTTTCACTATATAATCTATAGAGCCCCGCTCTAACACTAGAACCCCTGACCCTGGGGCCATAAAATTCACAATTTTGGTAGAGGCACTCTTGCTCATCATAACTATGTACTTAGTTGGTTTATTTAATACCCAGGAGCAGAGAAGAAGATTTTCAAAGAATTCATGTATTTTCACTATATAATCTAATTCAATAGTGGCCCGCCCTAACACCAGAACCCCTGACCCTGGGGCCATAAAATTCACAATTTTGGTAGTGGCACTCTTGCTCATCATAACTATGTGCTTAGTTGGTTTATTTAATACCCAGGAGCAGAGAAGAAGATTTTCAAAGAAATAATGCATTTTCACTACCTACTTATTTAGCCCCGCCCTAGCACTAGAACCCCTGACCCCAGGGCCATGAATTTCACAATTTTGGTAGAGGACTCATTGCTGATTACAATCATGCAAACAGTTTGACTGCTTGATGTCCAGGAGTAAAGAAGAAGATTTTTAAAGATTGCATTAATTTTAGTGGTTTTGGCCCCACCCCTCAGGCCCCAGGGGGGCAGGGATCATGAAATTCAAAATTTTTGTTCCCCTTCACCCATAGATGCTTTAGGCCAAATTTGGTTGAAATTGGTTCAGTGGTTGCAGAGAAGAAGCTGAAAATGTTCAAATGTTAACGCACAACGCACGACGACGGACGAAAACAAATAGCAATAGGTCACCTGAGTTTACTCAGGTGACCTAATAAAACTGTAGGAGGACAGGAGTAGCGTTTTTAGAGAATTTTACACAAATTTTGATTTTTAGTCACTAAGCATAGCAATACAATAAATACAATTAATATGTATCTTATTACTATTCTTAGTAAAGTCTACTTGTGAGCCAAGTAATACAAAAATCAGACCAAAACTGTAGGAGAAGAAGCAATTTGAAAGTATTTATGGAAATTTCTATTTTTAGTTACAACTGAAACACCATTCTTCAATACACAGAATTATGTATCTAAGTGTAGTCTACCTGTGTGCCAAGTATACTGAATTGAGTGAATTCAGACCCGAAGTGTAGGATGAGTAGCATTTTGAAAAATTGTTTAGAGACATACAGGTGCCATCATGGATCTCACAATCAAGGAAAAAGAAAAAAGTTTGGGTTATCCAAAGATTCAATATATCATGGGTAAAATACTTAAAGAATATGCATTTGGGACTTAGAGATAACTTCGACATAACTATGGTATTCAAGATATCAGTGTTGAGATACCCAAGTTCAACTGTACATTATTTATCACTTTTCTATGTACCATTTTGGAATCTTGTGTACTTGTAATTTGACTTGACAAAAATCACAAACATTGCTGTGTTACATTTATATTTAATATTACATCTGTATAAAACAACATTGTGATAATACCCTTGATAAAAGTATAAAACAAGCAACTGACACGTGTGCCTGCTTAACACCAATAAATAGTCCAAGCACACTAATGTTTGCAATGAATAAGAACATACTCCAATATGTTTTATCAAGAAAAAAAAAGTTTTGAATTCTTTCGTTTCTCCAAGTTAACTTTTTTAACTGTTTATAAAAGAAGATGTTGGTAATCAAAAATGACCAATAAAGATTTGATAAACTTACTGAATTTTAGTGCCTCAAAAAGGGCAATTGCTATTAGAATTTATTTTCAAATTAAATATTTGAAATACAATTCATTACTTAAATTATATAAAATCTACTAATTTTTCTACAAATAGGAATGTAGAGTTACCTAGATTGGCCAATATACACCAAGTACTAGTACTTACACAATAGATACCCTTTGTCTATTGAAGCATGATTTGGGCAATAAAAATTTTACTTAGGCCCCAAATAGACATGAAATTAACAAGTAAGTACAAACATATTTTGGCTTAATTCAACCTGTAATTCATAATGATTGAAAACAAAACACTTAGAAGACACAGCATTCAGTTTTAAGCAGTTTCCCTGATACCACTCATATTTTCTTTAATTTTCTCATAAATGTATGTCACATTAATGGTCTACATATACACAACCTGCGATACATGGTCACATCACAATTAAATTTGTACAGAGAGTGTATTGTGGTATGTTTTTCTGCACCTTTAGATTGACTTTATACAAAAAGATACCAACATGTCAGTAGCTACAGATATGTTGCCTCCATTCTTATTACGTTATTGATTTAAATGTTACAAACAATACAATATAGTTATACTTGGTTGTGACTGAAAGAAAGAGAAATGAAATATCCCTTCTTAACATCAATGCATCAATAAAATACTTTGCACACTGATTCCAATACATACATTCACTTGTAGTGAAATACATCTATAGTGTCTAGTCATATGCTAAAAGTGTATACAAATTGTGGAAGAGAGAGAGAGAAAGAGAAAGCAGTTGACAATGATTGCAAAATACTTTTTTCAACCAATTTTCTGCAAAAATATAAATTATGGAATTTATCACGAAATCATTGATTTTGTGTGTGTGTGTGTGTGTGTGTGTGTGTTTAAATTCCATTTGAGATTCTTAAGCTTAAAAGTTCTTTAAAAATTTGAATGAGAATTATGAAAAAATTCTTGATTTAAAAATGACAGATACCCGATAATACATATAATTATCAAATTTCTTAAATGAAGTTAAAAATGATAAATCTAGTCAAGCTGGGAAATAGAAGGAAAGTACAAATATCTTTAGATTAAAACACCTTGTGGAAAAAAAAATTGAAAACCTAAAGGACGTTTATTTTATTTCAGCTAGGTATGTTTCAAAGCATATATTAGCCATATATGCAATACAGGCATATAGAAAATTTGTCATCGCTTATTTAAAAACACCAACTTAAAAAAATAAAACAGCATATTTTAATAAAACTGCATGTCATAGAATTTAAAATTGATATCACATTTAAGAAAAAGTCTACAAAAATAAACTCAGCACACAACCTTTATTTATCTCAAGCAACAAGCCCACCTAACCACCCCAAAATGTCTAGTGACCAAATGGGGTTATTTATTGGAAATTATAGTGGACCTTAAAGTACACAAAAACAGGCATCCATGGATAATCTATTAATCATGCACTTATACTAAAATTCTAAGAAAAATGAGTTTCTTTTTAATCCTATTATGTAAAAATTTGAAGGTATGATCTTATTTTAGAACTCTTGTTTTCATTTCTTAAAAAAAAAATCAAAATTTCTTTATTTACTGATGCCACAAGAGCATATAATGCACATTGGTCCACATGAAATGTTGTGAGCTTGAAAACAAAGGAAGCACTTTCAAACACTTGATATTCACATTCTAAAAAAAATCACCTTGTAAAATACATAATTGTTCTCTTCTAAAATGGATGTGATATGAATTCAACAACAAAATACAATTTCTCAATTTCAGCTCTGTTAAAGGCTTTCAACAGAAGAGGTGTGTTGGGACTAGTTCACACGATCAGCAAATTGATCTGCTTTACATTCTGCCATCTTCACTGAACAAAAAAGAATCATAAAATAATAATAAAAATATCACATCTTTAAACAGAAACTTCGAAGTTTGTGTCGTTATACAGATTCTTTTTCTTGCTTTCACGATGTCTTCCCTTTTGTTTGTGGTGATGTGACCCCTGTACATTCACAGGAGATTTTTTGCTTTGTGCATTAGAGTTCTTAATCCCCTGCTGGCTTTGTTCAACTAACTGGCTCACTTCCAGTGCCTTTACAAAAGACATAGGTCTCTTAGCAGTTCTTGGATCCTCATCAAAGAACCCTCCCTGATTGTTTGGTAGTGTCTGACTTCTCCCTAGGGGGGAGGAGTCAAATGATCTGGAGTTGTATCCAGAGGACACAGAGGAGTTCATCAAGGGTCTCCTATCTACACTGTCTATAGAGCCCTCTGCACTGGCCGCTCTCTCCCTCCTGTGTCCATTCTGTTGACTATAGTACTGGGGCTTATTGTACCCCGGAGATTCTCGGGAACTATACTGAGGTTGTGAAGATCTAGTCATTTGACGTGATTGGCCACTGTGACTCCTGTCTGTGCCAGGGCTATTTAGTATATTTCTGGGAGGGGGAGTATATTTTGAAGGGGACCCCATGAGAGATTCTTCTGGAAGAGCCATGGGAGCTGTTCCATCCTGCAATCTTCCCCGTCTGCCCCTTTGGGGCGACTGTTCTACACAAGGCTGATGAATAACAGGTGGTCCACGAGAAGTTCTATCAGCTTGGTAATTGCTTGATGATGATGATGAAACTGGCTTTGACTGTGAAGTGTCAAAAAGATTTGTATAAGAATCAGACCTCCGATTATCATGGATTTCTGAGCCTTCCGATTGGCTACTTCCCTGGCTATGTAGGTCGTCTTGGTGATCCGACAAAAGTGGAGTGCGAGGGGCCTACACAACGAATAAAATGGGAGACAATTTCAGTTACGATACTGATGCTAAGACACCACAACATATGGCAATATCAGTTGATAAGGACTGGTGGTCGATTATGAGTATGTGTTAGGTTGAAGAGGTATGCCATGCGATATAAGACTTGTTACCTATGTGTGGACTACAGGATTGTAGTTACACCCTGCAAGAGAGCCAGAAAGACACACTCAGAATTAGTGCCAGAAAATGCAGAATTTTCAAAGTATTTTGAGTCTTTTTTTTTTGTCAATTCATTTTATCTTTGAAAATTCCACATTTTGAAAAAAAATTATGACAAAGTGCTATTCTAAAAATTATTCCAAATATTTTCCAAGAAACTAAAATTATTCTTACTAAATAAAAGACAATGCAAGATAAAAGCCCACTCTGACCACATTTTTGGGGAAAAGGGGGGAGGGGGGATGGTCTTTTAGATCAATGAAATAGTTTATCATCCGAAATACACATGATGATGTCCAGTATTTAATATAATCACAATTTTTACTTCATAAAAAGTGGTCAGGGCAAGAGAACATAATTGCCAAGCATCAATTATCTCCTTGTTTCAAAAAAAAAAAAAATGTTACACAAGTTTTTTGATCAGAAATCAAGGAAATCTTATCATTATTTAATTAAACACTTTGTGACTAAAAGCATAGACAAATTTGGTTAAAAACCTTATTAACAATATTTGTTACAACAAATGTCCAAAATCTGATTTATATTCATGACAACATTTAGAATTACCGTATAAGTGGAAATTTTAGCGGGACACGAATTTAGCGATTTGTCCTTTAAAATTGGTATTTTATTTTTAGCGAGATGTAATTTTAGCGAATTTAAAAAAGCTCACTAAAGAAGCTATTACAAATAAAGCGCAATAAATTTTTAGCGATATTCAATTTTAGCGATCTTGGCACCCTCGCTAATAATGCCAAAATTAAATCCTCACTAAAAATTCTGCTTATATGGTATTTCAAATTTCAACCTTGTGATATATCCTCTGAATTTCAATGTTAAAGGAATTTTTAAAACACATACAATTTCTTGAGCTAGAAACTTTTTTTCCAGGTAGAATTTGGGGTCAGATAGGGCCAATTCCATATCTTTTAGCACAGCACTTTGTCATAAATAGTGTAAGCATTCAAAATTAATACTAAAGCTCTAGAGATAGTGTATATTGCAGTTATTTATGTATATGTAGTAATATTTGAAAATTCATAAATTAACAAATTGGTAATTGATGTGTTTGATTCAATGACATGCTTGAATAACTGAAATGCAAAAAATCAAATATTGCTACATCACATTCCACAGGTGACAAGTGAGAATAAATATGAATGTTTGGTTTTCAAAGTTAAAAATATGGCATCACCTTCTACATCAAATAATATTCACTATAAATGAATGAAATCGACAAAACCTCCAAAGATTTTCTTGTTGTTGAAAAAAGCTAGCTTTCATAATATTTTTTTTTACTCATGTGTTGATCAGCAGTTTTGGCCAACATCTTACTTTGAAAATGCACACATTATATTTTTTCCTCTATAAGAGCAAGCAATTTGTTATATAGTATATGCATAGATATGTATATATCTGTAAATAAAACAGAAAATTATATGAGAGTTTGGTCTTAATTTTCTGTCATTTTTTTCACATCTTGACTGCCTACTTATATTTTCAAATTCATAGAATTGCCTTTTGATGTTTTTTTTTTTTTTAAATTCTTTAAATTTTGTGTATATACATACATGTATATCTAAATATTTACTATATATTCATAATTCAAGAAATTGTATTCTACATTTGCTACTCATTACATGCCTGGATGTACTGATACTAATAAACAGGAAAAGATGTCTCATATAATGAAATCAAACAAATAACTATTTTGCCTCCATGTGATAGTAATATTCTATGTAAGCAGAGTTATTTTTGGAAGCAAATTATGACCTTGTGAACTGTTAATCAACCTAGTGAAAATTAAATCACAAAATAGCAGCAGCTAAAACTGGCTTCAGTTCTACAAGCAGTGAGCAACAATGGTTACCTCAACTTTGATGATTGCCATATTTAGATGATTAAATTTGATTCCTAATCAGTATCTATGGGCTATTCCATATACATGTCAGGTATGGGGAAATAACAGGTAAAAAAATGAGAGTTGTGAACAAAAATCAAAATCAGACACCAACAGAATAAAAATAAAGCTTGGATTTGTTTATTAGTGAACAGGGTGCAGTGAATGTTTATGGAATAGCCCATTTCTAATGTAACTCCTGGTAGAAATTGGCCTGCGGTCAACTAAAGAATACACTACAGTGTCAGGGGGAATAACTGTGCACATCCACAAAGAGACTAAGTGGAAAACCAAGACCAACCTGTCACATATAGGGTACATGTGTACTTAGAAGGTGTTAAATAAGTTTCTGTCTTATCAAAACTATAGTACCTGTATTTATAAAAGAATGTATTACTGATATGAATGTTTACAATAAAAATATTTAAATACTTCAAACATAAATTCGATTAAATAAAAGATAAGTATTACTTAGTTGCATTAATATCTTGGAAGCATTTGATAAAAAGTAGCAGAAATAAGTTTTTAAAAATTGTTCAAAATTTGTTACCTAAATATAATAATCATGTGTGATACAAGTCATGTACCATCTGAAACCAGGTTAAATGAACATGCGTAACGATAAATAAATTATAAATAAGGTACTGAAAGATGAGTCTATATGGATTAATAAAGACCACCAATCCATTTAATAAAATATTTGATTGAAACTGAAAAATAAAAGAAAATAAATTAAAATGGAAATTATCACTTTAATTCAAATCAGCAAAGGTGCTTGATACTCAGAAACTATTAAAAATCTTTCAGAATCTGTTTATATCTAAAATATATAAACTAAGTAAACAAATATGAAATGACCAGGATTTTTCTACTTTATATCAGATTTCTTTTTTTTTTGGGGGGGGGGGGGGTCTCAGAGTATCCCAATAACCCTAACAGGAGTTCATAAGATGCCCTACGGGATGCTTATTTTGGTTTATTTTAGTATTTTAGAAGCAGTCCACTAAAATTTGCACCCTTGTGTGTTAGTATCAGTTTTTCTCAAAATCTTCCGTGAATAGGTATCAAATGTTGATTCAACATACTGAAAACTCATCTGAAAGATGAAGTCTCTTTCTTTTACGACGTCATTGAACTGTGTGACAGCCAAAATTATTACATACCTTTGAGCAAGAAAAACACAACATTTTGCCCCCCACTAAAGAAACAAGCTGTACGGTAATATGCTAACTGCAAGATCAGTGGTTACACTGAGATTGACTACAAGAGATTCAGTGTGATAATCTTATGACACATTTAATTTTTAATAATCCCCATTCTTATTGTTATATTGATGAAAATAAGATATTGTTTACTGGACTTTTTTTTTTCTTTTTTGAGGTAATAGTTTCAGAGTATCATCACCTTCCTGAAAATAGGATAACATTAAAACAGCTGATGCATGTCTGTTTAAAAAGAATTATGAAACATGTTGACAACATGTATTTCTCTGTAGAGAAATATATAAGTAACAAACTTAAATTAAAAATTAAATTAAAACACAAAATTATTTTAGAATTTTGAAAAAAAAAACTGTGTATTAAAACAGTCTTCATCTTTACTTCATTTACTTATTAATTATAATTCTCTTAAAATATGAAATATTTTGAATGAGATGACGGAGACACAGTTTTTATTTTGTAACAAATGGGCACATTTCAAAACAACAACAGAGGGGTTCGGGAATTGTACATTGCTGAAATAAATCCTTACGTTCTGGTTCACCACTGCCGTGTTTCTCTTCACCCCATTAGTACTAGCATCTGTGTACAACTTAATTTCCTTATTGGCTGATGTATACTTCACCTTTGTAGCATCTATTGACAGCGTTCTATGTTTAGGCACATAAGATGATAATCTGAAATAGTGAAATTAAGAACCAGGTCATTTTTTTTTTGTTAGTGCTCCAACACACATTTTTTCCAGGTGGGTATGTAGTTTTTTTTTCCTTAATTATTTCAGAATACACAGATGATCTTCAGACATAGTCCACACAACTTGTCCAATGAAGGACATAAGAAAATTCTCACAAGCAAATCAGTGATCTTAAGAACAATATCTGCAATGTAAATTTCCAGTTTCAAAAACCTTTTTTTTTAAGTCTTGCATCACCTTGTGACCATAAATATTAGAGATGTCAAAATATTAATTTTCCTTAGTCGAACATTCGATTGCATTATTCGAACGATAGTCAACTATTCGGAGCATTTATTATTATTTTTATGTCACAGTGTTTTTGAAGGCTTATTAATTGAAATAAATTAGAGAATTGTAAACGCACACTATCCACACGTCTGATGAAATTTTAAATACTTATGGAATGAAGCTAATTTCAACTTATATTATACGATATAACATAACTTGGGGCAGTTTACGCTTTATAAACCGCGAAGCGGTTTATAAAAAAGCGTTAACTGCCCCAAGTTATGTTATATCGTATAATATAAGTTGAAATTAGCTTCATTCCTTATAATTTAATTTCAGTGCATACAATGAGATAATTTTCTCCCCAGAATAATGCTCCACAATGATTTAGTTTTGAAAGTAACGTCAAGTGGAGTAATACGTTTTTTGACGTAACTCATTGTGACGTAGGCAAGTTATGTTATCCAAAATGGATAAAATCTTTTATCCAATCAAATGGCATGTTACAAGTAAAATTAAATTATTGTTTGTTCAATTAATGATTGCCTAAGTTATCAAAATGTCTTAAATTATGTAAGATTATTGTTTTAATAATTATAGAAGTTTAAAACTTTAGGGCTATGCAAAGATGGTGTGTTCCTAAGCATTTGAAATTCCTAGAGTTTATAAATATAACTGGTACAAGTCAATTAAAAAATTTTCATAGTGGAGTATAGCGTTGCATAATTTACTACATACAATACGTACACTAAATACAATAGCAAAACAGTCAGTGATTGAGAAATAATTATCGCGGTATGCAATTACTATATTTTCCACATGCACATTGTGGAAAATTACTTTATATGTACTGTGAGCTCTTATTCGTCAGTTTGAGGAAGGACACTTTTTCAATTTTGAAATGAGAATTTCATTATCACATTTTCTTTCATTTATTTAATATTCGAATGCCGTTTCATTATTCGATCGTCGGTCCATTCGACTGACAGTCGAATAGTCGACTTCGTTGACATCCCTAATAAATATCCATGAACTGGTCAGGAGTTACTTGCAAACCTTGTGGATATATCTAATATGTGTGAAGACTTGTAAACCCATCACATTATTTAAATGCATTGGCATTATGTTTTGACAATAAAAAATACTTACTTCGGCCACACAGGACCACATAAGGTATATTTACAGTTCAAGCAACATCCCTTGGTGAAAGGATTGTGTCCTCCTTTAAACCTTCCAGTGACCTGCAATATTAATGTTTACAATATAAGTCAAAATCTGTTATAGTTTGTGCTGGCATTAAATTTTTTATGCATGACAAACTGACCTGTTCATTCGTAGTTCTTCCCCTTGAAACCAACACAACATGAAATCCAGTCAACCCTGACACAGGGAAAATTAGTAATCCAATAATTATCATATCAATTAATCTAAACCTGATTAAGGAAATTCAAATATTAATGCCGTGCACTAATCCCCCACCTTTTATTTGTAATACTGGTTCAATCCAAACAACAACTGTCCCTTATTGATTTAAGATATTGGTGTAATTTATGCAAATATGAAATCAATAGACAAATTTTTGTAATGAGTCAATCTATTGATGTTAAATTAGGACACGAAAAACTTCCTGAAGAACTTCTAATTAATACAATCACAATGACATTCATGCATTATAAAAAAAACATCATCAAGATGGAAAATTCTGATTGAATTCATTGCAAAAAGGATACGCTACTATATTGCCAACAGTTTTCAAATTATCTTTATGTCTAAGCACATAAAGCAAGCAGAATGAAAATACACTAATCATGTGAATGCATAATGAACACAAGAAAAGGAAGAAATATCTGTAGTTCCTTCGCCCTATACAGTTGTTCACCCAAGGACAATGGTGATCAAATGTCTGAAATGTAAAGCAAATTATATTTCTATTTTACAATTCTTAACACATATAACAATTCAATTCTAAAAATATGAAAGAAAATTTTAGCAGTTTTTTCATATACAGCTGTAATTTCATGATTCCTCAAACTAGTAATTTTTTAACATTGTCAAATTCATTTATCATTTTTAAGGCACTGAAGTATTAAAGTCAGGTAGATGAATTTGACAAGTTCAGGCTACCAAAAAAAATGACATGGGAGATTACACCCTGAGTTCTTACCTCTATACATTTATTACACACACTACAATGAGAACACCTAGGTGGTCTGTAGAACTGACACGTTGTACACCACTTCATTCTCACAGCTATACCATTTATTTCTACAGGCTTATATAGGGGTGCTCGAAAATCATCATCTTTTACTTCATCTTCATGTGCTGAAAAGTAGAAAACAGTGCCTGAATAAGATGAATTAACAGCATATTATTACTTGAAATGCATCATTCTACTTCTAGAAGAAGGCAAGAAGTGATTCATGACAACATCACATGTCCATGTAATTTTGGTATTTCTCCATGGAGTCCATCCATATCTTTTTATTAGTCTCCTATCGGGGAATCCGGAGAGGACTATAGGTTTCCTCTGAGTCTGTCCCTCCATCCGTCTGTCCCCATGTCTGTCTCTCAGTCTGTCCTACTTGGTTTTCTGCACTTTTATTTCTAAACACTTCCAGATATTGAGTCGAATTTTGGTATGTGAGTGTATCTTGATGAGTTACAGATCAAATTTGAATATCGTTTCGCTTCAATGATTTTTGACAGAATCATGGCATATTAATTTTTCATAATGCTTTAAGATCGGGTTTGTGCTGCGCTAAATTCCAAAGGTCAACATGGTAAATATGAAGCGTAAAAAAAAAGACATTGAAAAAATCATAATGGGTTGAATTTTCATCTTTATGTGGATTATTTTTTTAGGTTTAAGGCATGCACAATCTCAAAATTTTAATATCAAGCAGTTTTACTTAAATTTTAATATCAAGCAGTTTTACTTTGGACATTTATAACTTTTGCATATTATAAAATGACATCCTAAAGAAAAAGGAGAACGGTAGGGGACATGTATTGCTTATGCAATACTCTCAGAATGCTAGTTCTAAATGTCAAACATTGTTAACTTTGCAAAATGCTGGAAAATGACCGCTCATACACAAGCAATACCAGCACAATCATAGGTTTAAGAATGAATCAGATTTTGCTAAATATATGTTTTAGTTTAACAAATTTAGAAAAACTTCCAAAATTTTGTTTTACCAAGTGTTGTGCTGAAAGGAAGAAAACTCGGCAAAATTTACCTCTGGGATAATATCCCGGATCCATAAAAGTAGCAAGTCCAAAGTTGAGTATGACAAACAAGGTAAGAATCCCCTCATAAATTGGAATTGCTAATGTGTACAAAATGGACAAGTCTACTAAGGCTGGACATCTACAATAAAATAAAATTTATAAACTGTATGGAATATAGCTATTAATAAACAAGTAATTTCATACAAAATTATACATATTTTAACATACCCCACCCCACCTCATAAAAAAATTGTAAACAAGAAACCAGTCTCTGAAAGGTTTGTTTTCATTAATTTGGTAGTTTTTTCAGCGCAACCAACTAGCGCTAACTCATCACCGCCCATCAGAATATCTAGTGATACCCAAAATAATTGTTCAATATAACTTTAACTTAGTACATGACTAGATGTAAAAGCATTCTGAAAGAACTCAAAGAAAATTTTATTTATAGTAATAACCATAGCAACCATGACTGCTGAAATCAAAAATGGACAGACAGAATTTTGTATATCTTAGTATAGTTTGCTTGTGTACCAAATTCTTACTGGAAAAGAAAAAAAAATGGAGGTGTCGCATTTTTTAAAAAAGAATTTAAGAAGAACTGCACTGTTAAAGTAAGACTAACTTGGCAAAAATTCTTTCATTCGACAAATTCGATATTAGTACATATTTACACTATTTATAGAAAAAAAATTTCTCAATTTTTGCACTGTAAATTATATGTCATTTTGGATGTTGGTTTTGGCATTTTTTAAATGGGATATTAGATACGTCAATATATGATATTATGTCTTAAAAACTGAAAAGGGCATTATTATTTCCCATTTGGGATGTTATAATAGTATCCCAAAGGGGCATTTTATCCCATTTGGGCGATTGGTCCCAACCTCTTCAAGCTTATAACGGTAGCCGATTTCACTCAGAGAAGATGGATTAAGTGCTACGTATCATGCGTATTGCATGATAATGAAGTTTGGGAATGCTACCACAATGTGAATGACATGTCAGAAAAAAATCTCGAAATATTTTCAAAGTAAGCATGGTAAAGAGTATGTTCAGATCATGGAATTTCAAAACCCCGGAAAATTAATTTTCAAACATACACAAAAACAAAGAAGAGAGCAGTAGTTCCAAGGGTCAAACCCCAGGCACATATTGCAGGAATAAGTCTACTCGACATTATTTTCCCTGGTAACCTCTCCTTCTCATAACTGATTAAATTCACAGTGTAATTTCACGTCTTTCGGCACTGAAAACTGTTTGGTATCCTCCATTGACCTCATTACGCACGCACCTATGCTTCATTGAAAGAAAATAGTTCGTTAAATCTAAAATTTTACAAAAATAACTCTCTATGCATATTGATGAAATACATATATAATTTATATTTTAATAAAACGTTTTTAGATTACACAAAACAATACAGCATTTGATGAAAAACTTAATTTTACATAAGCGTAGTGATACAGTGATCAAATATGACTAGCGCATGCTAAAATCCGCAAAGTATAACTGTATGATAATTTTTGCAGACGCAAACTTTATATGCTTGTATAACACTGAAAGACTTTTTTTGATCGCAACTGGGAAATTCGCAATTTGAGACCAGGAAAACTACATTCAAATTTCTTTATCACAAAATTTAATATTATAGTTTCCTCAACATTGCTCAAAGTGAAACATAACCTCTTAATTTCCATTCAATGCATGCGTTTGTGTTTTAAAATTTAAACAAGTGAAACTAGTTATATAAATTTTTAGTATTGCAAATAATGTACACTGAGAAAAATATTGAAATAAAAACATAACTAGATAAATAACGCACTTTAATGCCCTCTCATTCATAATTTAGAAAAAAAAAATTTGGAAAATAGATCAACTATTTGAATATTTTTCCTCCTGGGATATTTGTAAGAAGTATAATTAATTATATATACCATATATATACGACCCTGGTTAGATATATTTTCCAATCTTTTTAACAAAAATCAAATTTCGCCAACAACAAAACAAAAAAAAAAAAGGATATCAATGAGCAAGGATGTTTCATTAAGGGTCCCCACTTAATTATTAAAATATAAATAAATAAAATTATTAATTAAGAATTATCATTCATTATAAAAAATAAATGACTAATAAAATAATATTAAATTTAATTAAAAATATAAAAATAAAATGTAAATAAATAAAGCAATATCTCCAGGGACCTATATATATACTAGTATATGTCCCTGATATCCCATTCATAAGAAATGTCATTTTTATTTCATACAGGATGGGAATAAAGATATGACTCCTCCTTAAGAAACGCTGGAAATGGTGTGTGGAGTTAAAATATTTTTTTTTAACATAGTAACCAATATGAACGAGACGAGGAGTGGGTGGGGGAGGGAGTGGTGGTGAAGAAGAACCATTTTTAACATTATTAAGTGCAGAATGAAAAAATGCACTTTTAATTAGCAATAATATATAAAGTAAATAAAAATGTTTCTGTTCTGAGAAGAATTTTTATTTTTAGCGTTCTTTTCCTTCAAAATTCTTGGTTCTGTGAGCATAGTTGAAATTGACCGTTATTCTGTTGATTAGACAAATCTTTCAAACTTCCTGATAGAACTTCGACAGTGTTATGAGTGTAAAAATATACTTCAAGTGGGCAACCAAGGAATCTGATCATAAATTGTGTCACTGGTGATCAAGAATGGAGGAACTAAAGGATCATACTGTGTACAAGTGAAATAGTACCTTTGAAAACATATCCTTATTGCAATTTAACATTATCACCGAATCAGTTGGCAAGGGCGACAACTGATGGGTAACCACCATACACATCATGACGATAAAGCCAAACCTAACCCAGAATCTCACGGCGGCAGCGCCCCCACCAGGTCTTCAATATTTGGATCAAGCACAAAGTTAAACTCAGCCAGTCTCATCAAACTCTTCCAGGTTCAACAAATAATATTTAATAAGAAATAAGTTAATGATAATCATGTTTTATACAAGTGTTCACAAGTATGACTTGTAAACTAAAGTGTAAACAACCATATTTGTTAAAATACAAATGCTTTATTTCATGGTAGAGGAAATTTGTAGCATAAAGTGATGGAGCCTATCATCCTATTTGCAGGGGTAGGCAAATAAAATTTTGCAGTACTTGCCCTCGGACATGTTACCATTGTAAAACTACTTGTCCTACCAAAAAATATGCTTGTCCCACCTTTTTCTTAAATTACACGGAATTGAAGCATTGATATCAAATTATTTCTTGAGTGAGACACCCAAACACTACTCGAAGATATCCTAGATCTAAAATCACGAAATTCTTCCACAGCTTAATTCAAAGGAAAATGTTTTATTTTAAGAGGCATTGCAATTTGTCTAGCCCTGAATCCAGTGATATCCATGAGCATAGAAATTCAATGATTAATTTTTTCTTTAGTATATATTTATGATACAATATTTAATTATTGATATGTATCCATCATTGAATACATCTCTGATGCTTGTCAGTGAGGTAATTCTATGTCCAAATTAAGTTGGAATTGATATGGTTTTTGATAGACATGATTTTAGAACATGTAGCAGGGGTTATTTTCTGACAATCACCATACTGGAGGTCAGCAAGACCAGATTCCTTTATTATTCAACCAATTTATACCCATCATACTGGGAAATATTGGATAAAGAGAACATGGTTTTCCTTATGAATATATGTTTTTAAAAAAGTGTCTTTTATTTAATAAGTTTAGTATTTTAAATATTTTTGTCCTTATATATTACTTGCATATTACATGTTTAAAAGTGGTTGATCAAAGAGGAAAATTCACTAGTTTGACCTTGAAAATGGCAGTCAAGGCAAATATCTCTGGAAAATATATCATGCAAAACTATCTTTCAAGTGAGCACATTTAAGGCTGACAAAGGCTCATAGTCACTAGCCTTTATACATGTTATATGACTCCAAATAAAACCTTTCATTTATTCTAATAAAAAAAAATGATGTTCATCTCTGAAATGTTTCATTCCTAAGCTGGTCTATTGAAACTATTTGAAAAAGTTCTCTTGTCAAATACCTGCATGCACTTAAAAAAATCAATAAATCTTTTTTTTTTTAAGTTTTCTGAATCCAAAACAATCCTGAAGTTCCCATATTTCTTTCATCCTTTTAAGTTTAACAATATACATGGATTACTTGGTTAAAGTATCTATCTCAACAAGGAAATTAAATTTTTTTTATACTCTGCTCCGAAGGAAAGGGGGTAACACTGTTTTACTTAATGTGTCTGTTAATTTGACACAGACCTATTGGCCATAACAAATTTTCGTTGCAGTTTTCTCAACAATTTATCATCGCAGATGAATGAAATGATAGCACACTCTTTGTATAGGCATGCCAAATGGTGGAATTAATTTTTGTTTAAATATGATGTCATCTTCCCATTAATCGTGTGTCTGTCCATAACAAGTTTTCGTGTTCAATTTCCCAGAACTTTTTCTCATCACACATGGTACATGCATAACTTTTAGCACACTCTTTCTTTTCATGCATTTGATGGGATTCATTTTTGTGCAAATTCAATGTCAGCATATGAGGGTATATTCACACCACAGGCACCAGATGTTACTTGTTTTTCTTTTATTAAAAAAAAATATTCCACTACCGTACTAGTGACTACCTAATAATTCACAAGATACACATCTCTGCCATCTTGATTTTTTTCTAGGTCTGTCACATCAACTTGTATTTTTGTCTCAAACTGGTTGAAATAATTTCCCTGCTACCGTATTCTTTCTGAGATCAGTCTTTTGAGGTCTCGATTTACTGACAGTGCAACCAAAATGGTGCATCATGCTTGCAGATACATGTATTAAAAACCTCTTCATCAATCCGAGAAAACAATATTATTAAAGAAAAAAATATTTCAGCCGTGATTTTTAATGCAAAATCCTAAATTCTTGTACAGAACACTTCTTTTCCAAAAGGTTTAAATAACAGTAATCTTAATGGTCCTTTTCTCGCGTAAAAGTGATATCTGTTATGAAAAAGCATAAGTCATTCGTAAAACTTGTTTATTTTATGTATACCTAACTTAACCTAGCAAGAGTGATTTTTTTTTTTAATTTTCACAGCTCAATCAGTCAATTCGTTAAATTGAATTTTTCTAGTAAAAACTTTTCTTTTAATTTTTTGATTGAAAAATGATTCAGAAAAAAATTAATTTACTGAAGAGTGAGTGGTCCGTTGCTTGGAATGGTGTTTTACAAGGCAGTCAATGAACTGTCCTGAATATTTCTTTTCTAACCCTACCTCAAATTTAAACTATTCATCATGCTTATTTTAATATAGACAATCCTTTATGACAGGGACTGGAAACAATTTGGTGTGAAGGTGTCTTGTTGAAGTTTTGTTTTGACAAGGAAAAATTGATCATGTATAGAGATAGACTGCTGTAGTTATTTCACGGCACATAAGTGTTATTTTTGTTATTCCCATGCTGCTGTAACTGCGTCATATAACTCTGGGTTTATAGGCCAGCTTATTGATCTTTGCTAACTAAAACTGTGTTCAGTGTTCATAAAAGATTTGTCATTTCCTTCCTCGGACAGTTGTTGACACATGGAAATTTTTCAGATGTCTAACTAAACAATAAACGTTTCAAATGCATTCAGATACATTTTCAAGTCTTTATTTTCACACGTGTTAAAAAACTTTGGAACTTTATCCTTTAACAAATTAAATTTTAATGCTTTTAGAAATGAAGTATTGATAGTGAAAGATTCCATGTTATTCCTTTGTCCTGCATTCAGCACCAAGATCTGTCACAGCCACATTTATTGAACTGACAAAATCCATTTTCACATGTGACTGAAAGGAGGTTTTTCTACCTTTGCCACACAGTATGATGCTGTGAAAAAAATATTAATATACACTTGTTATTTAGTGATCTATACAAAAGAGATCTGTATTTACCTGTATCCTAAGTTTTTAAATGCAGGCATACACATAGGCAATGTTAATTAATTATAGTAGAACAAGAATTAAGTGGATGGTTAGAGCATTATTAATTAGTCTTATGGACCACCTTGTTGTTCCGTTGTTGTTTTTTTGACAGAAAGATGAATTTTTGTGATTTTTTCCAGAAACTCGAGTTGACGGCAGATGAACAGAACCGACATCCAGGAGAACTGAGTCGAGCTACTTTTGAGGTGAGTTTTATTCAGGATCTGTTGAGTTTTGATTTAGGATCATTTTGTTTTGACAGGCTAAATAGAAACCTGTCTTA